CATGAAGGACCCCACCCACCCAGCACACACACGTTTTGCCCCACTCCCCTCAGGAAGGAGGTTAAGGAGCATTAAGTGTAGAACCACTAGACTGAGGAACAGCTTCTACCCTGAGGCTGTTAGACTCATGAATCTCTAACTAGAATAATCACTGTGAAAAACCATATCATGTTGCTGCTGATCTGTTTCATATTGCTGCTGATCTGTTTCAATGTTGATGTGTTCATGCGTGCACATCTGCTCACAGACTCATGTTCATGTTTGTGCTGATGTTCAATGTTTTATGTTATGAGTGCTTAGTGTATATTTAGTTGATGTTTTTCTTGGTTCATATCTTAGATGTTATTACTGTTTTTCTTAGACATTTTATTGTTGGATGTAACTGGGACCCCGTGTACATAATTTCGCTCCACCACATGTACCACGAGGTGCGAATGACAATAAAGAAACTCTGACTCTGATATATATATATGTATATAACTTGTCTTTTTTCCAAGGCTTTTGACACCATGTGAGATGTTGATTTTACTATTCTTTTACTGTTTTAATTTTTTATTGCATAGCTGTTTGTCTTTTTAATAATTTTTTTCTTGTATTTTCTTCCTTTTTGTGCTTTTTAACTTGTCTGTAGAGCACTTTGGTCCTGTTTGGGTGTTTTTAAAGTGCTTTATAAATTAATTTGGATTGGATATATATAAATAAAGGTGTTTTAAACCCTTCCCACACTCTTGTAATATTCTAAACTATGTTTCTAAACTTTCAATACTCAAAGAGCACAGCATGTCATGATTTCCCTCTCTCTGCCTCCGCTGCTCTCAGCCACCTGCAAGAGTTTTTGGCCACGCCCACTTCTCCGCTCTGCACAGAGAACAGCTGATCAGCTGCAGGAGGAAGTTTATCCTGCAGTGTGCAGCAGGTGCTAAATGATTTTAAATAATTAATTTTAAAAAATTCCATGCAGATCGTGCGGCTCATCCATCAATCAGCCAATTGTGTGTCAAGTCCAATCTTATTTTGAAAAACCGCGATAGAGCGAGTCTGCGAAAAACTAATCACGAAGTAGCGAGGAATTAATGTATTCTAATTTTCTGAGATACTGAATTTAGGGTTTTCATTAGTTGTCAGTTATAATCATCAACATTAAAAGAAATAAACATTTGAAATATATCAGTCTGTGTGTAATGAATGAATATAATATACAAGTTAAATTTTTTTGAATGGAATTACTGAAATAAATCAACTTTCATGATATTCTAATTATATATATGTATATATAAGCATACATACACATATATACACATATTTTACTTATTTTAATCTTAAATGTTTTCGTGCACAAACAATAGGAAGTGTTTTTTGTTAACCTTCCTGAGATGTTGATGGCATTTCTACATGACTTCACTTTTTTACCAGAAGTGAAACTATTTTAATGAACTACATTATATTTTTAATGGAAAGAGTCAAGCCATGACCCCGTTCCTTCCTGCGTTTGCCTCTAATGACTCAAGCCTCAGTGAGCAACGTTCTGCGGGCGACAGCGGGGACAAAGCACGGACAGTCAATCTAAACTGCCTGCAGAGGGTGACAGGTATTAATCTGAAGTCTTGCTCCAGAGGTCAGTTGATTTATTGGCCATCATCTTTTACACAGTGTGCTGCGTAACACTGATGGGATACATCAGAACAAGGTATCAAAGCTTCCAGTGAAAGGTGTGGAGCAGACTGAACTGTTTGTGATTAATAACGTGGGGATTTGGCTTCAAGACAAAGTGACTTCATACTCCTGTGTCATTTCAGATGCTTCTTACAGTCATATTTTATTTCACACAGCAGAGTACGTGACAGAGTACGGATGATTTATTTCTATTATTTATGTTTATATTCAGTTCAGAGTTGATGCACAGTGATATGTTTCTGACAGATCAATCTGTGCTGTTTTTCTTGAGCTAGAAAATGAAAAATAGACGACTCCTTTGATGTAAAGCTGATAGAAAACTTAGCCTGTTTTTTCACACGGCTGCGATTCATTTATGCATTTAATTTTGTTTCGTTAGAGAATGTGTTTTTTTAAATTCTCATATATTAACCAAACACAAAACTTTGCCTAGACTGATGAATTTTAAATAAACAACGTCCCTGAGGCTGCTTAATATTTTGAGTAGAAATTCTATTAATATTGAGTTTTCTCTGATGTGGCGGTTCATGCCTGAAAAAGCATGACTCTATAAGTACTCTTTAATCTACTTTTCTTTATAATGCTTTCTGAATCACAAAGCTTGCACAGTTTTTTTCTCATCTTACCCATGATGGTGAGTTTACGTGGGCGCTGCTTGGAGGTGATGACCTGCAGGGAGGGGGCGATGGACTGGATGCGAATGATAGGCTGGTTGGGGTCGTAAGTGCCGGGCACGGCGAGCTCCAGGTCCCGACACATCAGCAGCTTTGGAGACACATACTGTAGCTCCAGGGAGGTGAGCTGTGGGAAAAGTTGATGAGGTGAGGATGTAGTACATGAAGAGACAATTGGTTTTGAGCCTGTTGTGCATGAAAACAGAGCCTGAAGCTATAAGCAAATCAAACCCGACACCGTCTTATATGGAAGCTAAGGTTTAATCTCACAAAAGTTGTTTATTTGCAATTCAACGCTCATTACAACCTCTGGAACTTTCTCCATCTATTTGCTGCCTGTTTATAGATTTTAATTCGTACATCTGTTGATTTACAGCAACCACGTGCAGTTTCAACCCAAACTTGCTCTAAATCTGCAGTCCGGATGCATCTTGGAGATGATTTATTTCCGTGTTAATACCCTCGGGAGAATATCTGCACTGCTCCCAGCGTGTTATTATATTGCTGTGTTTTTCATGCTGCGTGCTGTAATGTCCCAGCAGGAGGCACCGCCACAAGCAAGGCCACGCCACAGTGACGAACAGCATTTCCATCTCCATTTATTATGTGGAGTAAAAGCTATGCCTAATGTCATGCCAACAATGTAATGATAGTCATGAGGAATGACATCAATCAGATCAATTTCTACCCATTTCAAAAGCATCAAATAAGTTATTTAAGTTAAAACTTTTGACCCATTATGAATGTGAAACAAAACTTTTCATATACCCTAAATGCAGTTAGTACAACTCCAATCATAATGCTCTTACATATGCAAGGGGCTTAATGTATAAAGAGGCAGTGACTAAAAGAATAAAATATATTAAAAACATTTGGAGAAGGTCAAAACAATCTCATTTTTTAAAAGAGAAAACAGCTCTCTTTCTTTTTGTTTCATCTTTTTGGGCCACTGCCAAAGGTGAAAGGGCATTAATGTTTTTGTGCATTAAGTGCATTAGGAACTGAGCGTCATTCCCAATAAATACTCCGTAATTCAATAAGCCAAAAGAAATTGTCAAAAACTATTAAAAAAATTAACAACCCTAAAACTAAAATAGAAAATGACCTAAATCTTGAAGAACCAACATGACAAACACATACTTTTTGTAGGAGATATAAAAGTACTGTACAGTGATTTAAGTAAAAAACATCTGCAGAAGGTTTGACAACAAAAGGCAAGATGTTTTTTACCGATGTTCTTGAATCCGCTTGGACCGAGATATTCATTCATTGTGCTTCAACAAAACTTTTAAAATTCTAATGTCAATTTACCATCAAAGCACATGTGCTGACTGTACCAGTCACAAAATCCAAATAGTTGAAATACTTCTTATCACTTTTGATGAGATGCTGGAATGTGCAGAAGAATGTAGAAATAGGATGAAGTCAGCTCTAATTTCTCCAAAATACGAGCTGCTTTATTGGATTCTTTTGTACCTTATTTCTCAAATTTTGGCAATACTTTTCTTTTCATGTTATCAAAAAATAATATTACCATCCTTACTTGAGGTGTACTTCTTCACACTTGCTTTTATGTTATTAAAATAGTTCTAAAAGTGCAGACTATTTGCAGTAGTGATACACTGTCACTGACCTGTGGCAGCTGTTTGGAGATGCGTCTGAACACGTGGTAGTAAAGGTCCCAGGCCTGAGTCAGATCTTTTACGTTCCCAGAGCGCATGTACTTCCTGCACCAGTCCTGAGCCTCCATCAGATCTCTTCCATAAGCCTGTAACGTGAAATAAACCAGAGAGGAACAGCCATTTATGAGGACTTAAATGATAATCTTTTACTTTGCACCCAAAATAAGTTACCCACATGGTTTAAGATCATCTCAAACTGTGGTACAAGAGCCACTGATGGTACTCAGGAGAAATGTCAGTATATACTAGTTACAATTTAACAAAAACTAACTAACCACCAAAATGAACTGTGAAATAAAATTATAAAACAGGTACCAAAATAAGCAAACAAAGATATTGACTCCAAATGGAAACAAACTAAGATTAAAGTGCAATAAAGGATATTTTGAGACGTGTAAACACAGCGTCAGTAAAGTCTCTATAGAACCTGTTGGCAACAACAGTGACAAAACAGTGACGACAACTGATTTGTCCCAAATTTGTATTCAGTTGCTGTGAGGCAGAAAAAGAGCCGAGAGTGCAGTGTGAATGGAAGCATAATTCAAAATGCATCCATTAACCAGAGCTAGTGATTTGGCCAGTTTGTTCATTTATTCAATTCAATTCAAAAATTATTTATTAACCCCAAAGGGAAATTAAATGTTGCAACTCATTATCCTGGTTTCATTAAGAGATGTTATAGATGCTGATGGCTGTGGACAGGAAGGATCTCTTATAACGGTCTGTCCCACAGTGGATCTGAAGAAACTGGCCGCAGATGCCGTCCTATCCATCCACGAACCACATTTCCTGCCAGTTCTCAGTGGTCAGGCACTCAAACACAGCCAGCAGGTAGACGGGAATGCATCTATGGCACCTCCTTTTTAACTCATTTGGGATTTGGGGATGTCGTTGACGTATTATTTGAGCTTGTGAGATGTTAATCAGCAGCTCCCGGTTGTAAAAAAAACCACCTTGTTGTTATGGTTACAAATCATATCAAATGTCCAAAAGTAAAAAAGTTTCAGTAAAAATCCTTCCAGCTGCACATTTTTGAATTGAATTGAATTGAATCATTCGATACCAGAGGAAACAATCATCAAAAAAAATAGTGATTTACATCCAGAAAAATGTAACAGAGCTACTCCCAACATGCAGCCACCTTGAGCTGCGCAGTTCTAGGATTATATCAGATATAAACACAAACTTTTAAGTTAGAGTTGCTGTTTTTATTGTCCACTGGAATAGGTGTTACTTGAAGAACTTGGTATTTTCTGACGTGGGTCTTTTAATAAAAGTTTGCCAATCGTTGCTTTAAAAGGTCACCCTTTGTGGTGCTGCAATCACAAAGACTTAATTAAACTTAGTGCTAAGTTGATACAAACCTGATTAAAAGAGGTCTCTTTGAGTGTCTGTGGTCCCCTCTCCATCATGGCATGTAGAGGTTCCAGCACAGCAAACATGCCCTTAACGTTACGCTCACCAAAGTAAAGACGAGAGGCTTCCTCGAGGCCCTCATGCCACATCTCATGCCACAAGATAGCAACTCGGATAAGCTCTTCACTCACCTGAACGGAGGAGGACAACAAGTAAAAGGTCAGTTTGCTCTCTGATATTAATTTCACTTCATATCTTTGAGCCCCTGAAACAACACGAGGGCTCATCTGAAGCCTGTTATAGAGGTTTTTATATTACAGCGAACATCAGTGAAGAAGTCATTTCAAACCTTTTGATTCAGACAAAACTACAATGCAGAAACTTTTTTCCTTCACTTCTCTTCTGAATGATAATTGAAAATGCATGTAACAACAACAGTACAAATTTTAACTGATTCATCTACACATATGAAAAAGACTGGCATTTTTAGGATTAAAGGTTTTTATGATTTAATTTAGCTTAACAAATGTGATTGTTTTAATCTACCTACCATCATAGCTTGCTGAACCAGGGTGTTGCAGTGTTCACACATGTTCTTCAGGATCTTGTTAGCAGCATTATGTCGGGCAGTGGTGGTGGACTTGGATGCCACAGTCAGCGGGTAGATTAAAGCCTGGAGGTGAACACGGAATGGGCATTAGGGTTTAGTCTGGGTTTTGTTTTATTATGTTGAATAAAAACCTGGGACAGTAAAAATATTGGTACCTGTGGATGATACCGCCCGATGTCTGTTAGCAGCTGGTGGATGAGACGACCAACCAGAGCTCGAGGGGTATCGATACGAGCTATGAGCTGAGGGATTACCTGCAAGGAAAAAGACAAAGAATTTCTTTAAAGCCATGTTTTGTTTTTTATTGCGGGTTATATATATTACCACATCATAACCTTTTTCCTTTCATTGACAGTAACAAATCACACCCACTCTACCTCAAGGCTAACTTCAGGATCCTTTTGTGCGTTACCTGTAGCCAGGTGTCTATCTGAATGGTTTTGATGCCTTCCACCAAAGCTTCATTCACCTCAGGCCAATGACCGTAGTCAAACCACAAAGTCAAAACCCTGAAAGATTTTCAACAAAAGAAGATAAACCTGAAAACTCTCCCTCTAAATCATCATGAAGTATACAGTCAGCCACTAGAGGTCCTCCTATATTCATATAGCCTATCAGCAAGGCATTGATGTAAATAATGTTTGACCCCGTTTGGTTTATAGTCATTTAACTCACCTAAGTGTATCCTGCAGATTATTCCCTCTGGAAAGGGAAATGGAGCGGAAGAATCCTTGAACAGCAGGTACAGTGTACAGGAGCAGAGTCTTTGAAAGGTCCAGCAGAAAGACAGCATACAACACACACTTTTAATGCACGACTACAAAACAGGTTTATTTATTTTTTTTTACCTGAAATGAAAGCACAGAGAGCAAAGAAAACAAATAATCTTTGTGGATTCTCTGACTCCCACCTCATTGACCTTTTTCTGGCCTGGCGACGGCACAGGACTGTGATCCGTACTGTCGACCTCACTGTCACTGTTGCTGGCTTCGCTGGTAGCACTGGCACCGCTGGCGTGTCGCAGCTTCTTCTTCTCGTCGCGGCCCTGGTTCTGGTGCTTGTAATGCAGCACTGCCTCAAAGTTCATCACAGCCCAGGCGTGCCAGGCCTGTGGAGAAAAGGCCTCAGTGAAACCAGATTCCTAAAAGTTAATGATGTGAAATAACTTCCACATTTGTTTAGGATGTAATTTTCTGGTTTTATCAGAGCAAATATCTTCCATGGGGCTGTAATTTAAGATCACGAGTTTGATGTTTGCTGTGTTATGCAACCAGCTAAAGAACAGTTTTAAATTAATGAAGTTGGATGGAAAGCGTGTGCCATCATGTGCAACACAGGCATGGCAATAAACAAATGTTACTTAAGACTACCAAAACAAAGAGGAGCCACATAGACATTTAATCTGCCTGAAAATTTATAGCATGGACAGGATACTGCTTTCTTGTAAGGGGAATGACTTGTTGACACAGGTGGAACTTAACAGCAAGCAAAGAGAGGTCAAAGGTGAAAGATTAAAGTTGGGAAGGAGGGGCTGACCTTGTACCAGTTGCGGTCATGTTCAGTTGAATTGCTGTAATACTGCAGAACTTTGGGGATGGTGCTCTCATTGATGCCCTGCAGACTGAGCTGCCACTCCCCCAACTTCAAGAAACATCTGCACGGAGGGAAAGAGCCACCAAAGAGATTTAGTTTGACCCAAAATACAACATTTATAATAATTATTATTAATATATAGTAGGTTTGAAGACAACTTCACTGTTGGAACAAGAAAAAACAGACTTTTTTACCCGGTTTTACCCGGCAAAAACCTCCAGAAGCTTCAATATATTCAAAACAGTGCAGCCAGGATTTTATTGAGAGCTCGTAAATTTGAACATATTACACCCATTCTCCATAACCTCCATTGGCTTCCTGTCACCTACAGAATTCAGTACAAAATTGCTCTCATCACCCATCAGTGTTTATACGGAAATTCACCAGATTATCTGAAGGACCTTCTTGCTCCATATTCATCCACCCGGTCCCTACGATCGCAGAACAGTAATCTCCTCCACCTTCCACGAACTAAATTAAGAACCATGGGAGATCGGGCATTCTGTGTGGCTGCCCCCCACCTCTGGAACTCCCTCCCTGAATATCTGAGAGCTCCACAATCATTGACTGACTTTAAAAAAGGCTTAAAGACTTTTCTTTTTAAGCAAGCCTATTCTGCCTCCACATAACTGTATCGATTTTAGTTGATTTTATCATTGATTTTAGTTGATTTTATCACTGATTTTAGTTGCACTCTGTAGCACTTTGAGATTTTTGTTAATGAAAAGTGCGTTACAAATTAAATTCATTATTATTATTATTTACTTTAGAGACTTGTTTGTTGTCACGTTGTGAAAAAGGTTAGCTCTAACTTTTAGTAAAACCAACTGCGGTTTCCTAAAACAGAAAATTATATTATGGTAGGACAGAAATCCTGCTGAATTTGATTTTAAGTAATGCAGTGTGAAGCAGCTATATTTTATCCGCTGTTTTGGGAATACATACAGAGATTTTGAATCATCCAGTCCAAGTTTGTATTTCTCTAAGCTCACAATGCTCTCCGTTAGGTCCCTGAGGATAACTCGGGCTCTATCCATCACCCACAAACGCTGACGCTTACATGCAGAAGTCTAACTAGATGCGCATGGTGGGGCCAGAATGTATAATTTATGCTGCTGGACTAAATCGAACAAAAAGCAAACACCATCTTGTGGATCCATCCATCAACAGCGTGAATAATGCTTGCAGAGAATCTTCAGTAAATTTCCTTTAACCATTGCATTTCTCCCTTTCAGTACTCCTTCAAGCCAGAGTATAGTTTGGATTTAAAGCATTTTTGTCAAACTTTTTCAATAATCTGGCAACAAGGTCTGTTTTCACAGAACACACAGGAGAGGAGCATGGAGTCCTGTGCTGTTGAAATAAAGTGGTTGTTTTAACAGACGCCCGTTATTAATCCAATCAGTGAATTTTACCAGGATTCTTAGGGGGGAGAGTGAAGTTAACGGTGTAAACGTGAGTCTAACTCAGCAGTCCAGATGTGCTCCATACCACATGGCTGACCTGCATTCATGAAAGCGTGTGAGAATGCCTGCAGTGAAGGCGTCCTGACTGACATTACACAGGTGTTTTCCCTAACACGCATTCCTCAGAAGGCCCGAGTCGCCGTGTGGAAGCTGCAGAATGCCCTCTCTGTCTGCTTGTGTCCAGTCACGCTAGATTTAAGAAGAGGAGGGTACGCACTATGGCACATGTGGTCATAAGACTCCTGAATGATTTACTGTACCTGGGCTTTCACCTGATGATATGTCACACCTCTTGTCTGTTTTGAGTTACAAGACCAACAAAAAAAAAAACCAAACACAATGTGAATAAGTTCATTAAAATGTAATCATCCTCCTGTCGGCACAGAAAGGAAGCTAACTTTCAACCGTACAATTTTAAGGGGCCAAAATGGGCGAACAAACAACTTGCTTTAAACATCAAAGTTCGTGCTCGATAATCCAGGTAGAAAATCCAACAATGTTCAGTCAGGTCATCTGGACGGGATGTTTCGTCCTTCATCCAAAGGACTTCTTCAGTTCGAGGAGCTACAACAAACTGAGTCCCACAAGCAGCACACTCCCATAGTGGGGAAAAAACAAACAAACAAACAAAAAAAACAATTTGCTGGTGATAAGATAGTTCGTTCTTTGGACAAAGGACGAAACATCTCAACAATAAAAGAAACCATCCAGATGACCTGACTGAACATAGTTGGATTTTCAACCTGGATTATTCAGCATGAACATTGATGTTTTGATCCACCTTAGCTATGGCTGCCTCAGAGGAGTCGACGGGGGAGAGGGCGGGCCCCAGAAACCATCTTATCACCATCAAACTGGTTGGTCCACTATGTGAGTGTGCTGCTTGTAGGACTGTTTGTTGTGGCTCCTCTGACTGAAGAAGTCATTTGGATGAAGGACGAAACATCTCAACAAAAAAAAGAAACCATCCAGATGACCTGATGAACATTGTTGGAACTTGCTTTAAAGCTTTGAAGAGATTCTAGAGTTTTTGGGGATGTGAAACTTTCCACTATGGCATCATCAATCAGCACGACAAAACATGTTAATAACTTGTCCAAGTTTATTTTCCTTGTTGATTATTCATCAAGTATCTCAACAGACACGTGAAATGACTGACCTGGCCATAAGTTTGTGGAGCTCCTGTTTGTGCTGATGGTCTTCGGCTGCAGTGGCATGTTGGGCTTGCTGTTGTACGCCCTGAACAAAATGCTGCATGTGCTGGAAGGCATCAATCTGATGGAATACAAACAATTACCAACACCAAGTAAAGAGTTGTCATTGTAAGAAATGTCTGAAGTGGTTTAGATCGTTATGAAATCAGAACAGATATTAAACTGGCTCACTTGTGTTTACCTTTATTTCTTCATTTTCAACTTGCCAACTATTCTGTCATCACAACTTCTTGTAAACTGTGTATATATACACGTTTTTTTAATCTAAATAAATATTTGTTATTTATATGATTTGCTGAAATGAGTTTTTCTTAACTTAATACCAAGGGGAAGAGATGAATACTAATGAAATACATGTACATGGTGTAACAAAGTTGTTTTTGTCTTGAAATGTTGAGGTCATGGCCTGTACGATCAGTGTAATCAGTGGCAAAGCTACGATGCTTTAAACACTGGAAACAGCAAATATGTGTTTTTTATTTGGATTCTGGAAATGTGCGTTTTACATCCCTTTTGATTTGTCAGCTGTGCAGCACAGCTGGTCTCCGCAACCACAGTGGTACTGCTCACATGTTCCCAAGTCCCCTACTGAGACTCGCGGTCATTCTCAAGGCACAAACACTATTCAGGGCCTGGCAATAAATGTGTGTACGTGTTTGTGTGTGCGGGTCCATATGTACTCCATGTAAATGGGTGTGGGTGTTATTTTGGGAGACAAATGACAATGAACAGAGCTGCTTGAACTGCTCTGAAACAAACAATGCGCTCATCGGTTGTTGTACCGTGTTAATGGTACTGAACCAAAAGAAAAATAACTTCTACATGAAAAACAACTTTTGAAAAACATTCCACAGTGGTTTCACCCATTGTTGCCTTCAGTTACCACTTTTACTTCACAATATTGTAGGCAGCTTGGTTCATCTAATCAACTTCTAAAGGAAAAAGTGCAAAGGTTTAAAATTACATAAGGGAAGCATGTTCATAATAATATGTTGCCATGAAGACAACTTTTTTTTTCAGGGAAGGTTTGTCTTGACTTGTTCATAGCAGAAAAAATATAATAATACTCCACCACACTCCACAACAATGTGGCGCAGTAGTTAAAGAGTATGGTTTCAAAACTGGCTGCTTTTGTTGCCACACAAAAAAGTCTAAAGAAAAAATAAGACGGGAAACTCTAAACGTTATGAGGCTGAGATCTGCATCTAGTCAGAATATTAAAAAAATAACAACTGTGATTTTTTTTTTCTCAGAAAATATATTTGCACTGCATTTTTATTGACATGTACATTATAAGTTTTTACAAATCAGTGCTTTTAGTTTTTACTCACATCTTCATTTTTTCTTTAATATATCACAGCAAACAAAACCTGATCTCATTCATAGTTAAAGTCATTAACACAGAGCTTTTCTCCCCTCAAGGTCGGACAAATTAAGCAAACGGTTTGCAAATGTTTATTGACTTAATCGGTAACACAGTGGAATCCTTACTTTAAATTTGTGTTTTTGAATCTGTTTGGAAAAGGATTCCTGGCCACAAGGAGGATAAAATCACCTCAGACCTGGCCCAACTGACTATTATCGGAAATAATAAATTAATTTAGAAGCCAGTGATCACTGTAATTGTTTATACAATTTAGTTTAGACCTGGATTCTCTGAAAGAACTACCTGTCTTAAGCACTGTGGGGACAACTGAAGGAAAAATATATCAAGAACAGCAAGCGCTGAATAAAAGTGAACAAATGAAACTAGAGAAAATGCATTTCCTGTAAAAATGCAGTGTGAATGCTTATTGCAGACTAACTTGCTGAAAAACAACTGAAATTAGCTAAAACAATTCTGAAATGTAGCTGAAATGGAAGAACAAGCTTAAATTAGCAGACGAAAGCAGAAAGAAAACATATTTGCTGAATTAGGTTTAAATAGGCAGATATGAGCACAAAAATTAGGAAATTAGCTAAAAAAAAAAAAAGCTTAAATTAGCAACAACAAAACAGCTGAAAAATAGCTGAAATGCAAAAAGAAGCTTAAATTACCAGAAGGATGCAGAAAGAACTAAAATGAGCTAAAAAAAAAAAAAAAAGTGGAATTAGCTGAAAAAGCTAAAATTAGCATCAAAAGAGCTAAATATTATCTGAAAGAAAAAGCAGAAACTAGCAGAAAAAAGCTGAAAGGAGCATAACAAGCTGAAATTAGCATAAAGAAGTTAATTACAGTTAGTTGAAAGTAGCAGAAATTAAAAAAAAAAAAATAAAAATAATAATAATAATCTGAAAACAGCTGAAATTTGCTAAAATATGCTAAAAAGGTAGCTGAAAAGTTAGAACAAGCTTAAATCATTAGAAGAAAGCAGAAGGAACACGTTTGCCCAATTAGGCTTGAAGAAGAAAAAATGAGCACAAAGAAATGGATATTATCTGAAAAAAGTTTAAATTAGCAAAAAATAGCTGAAAAGTAGCATCAAAAGAGCTAAATAATACCTGAAAGAGCAGAATAAGCTGAAACTAGCAGAAAAAAAGCTGAAAGGAGCATAACAAGCTGAAATTAGAATAAAGAAGTTAATTAGGCTGAAAGTAGCAAAAATTACCACAAAAAAATGTAATTTATCTGGAAACAGTTTAAATTAGCTCAAAATGCAAAAAAGCTAGCTGAAAAGGTAAAACAAGCTTAAAGAAGCATAAGAAAGCAGAAAGAGCCCGTTTGCGCAATTAGGCCAAAAGACACAGAAATGAGCACAAAAAGAAGAAGTTATCTGAAAAAAGATAAAATTAGCAACAACAAAAAAAACAGCTGAAAAGTAGCTAAAATGGCAGAAAGAAGCTTAAATTACCAGAAGGAAGTGGAGAAAGCAAATGTTTGCTTAATTAGGCTGAAAATTTTGAAATGAGTGCAAAAAATGTGGAATTAGACAAAAAGCTAACATTAGCAGAAAAACAACTAAACAGTAGCTGAAGTTGCAGAAAAAGCTGAAACTTGCAGAAAAGCTGAAAGGAGCAAAACATGCTGAAATTAACAGAAAGAGTTTTTAAAAAGCATAAAAAATGTTGTAGTTAGCAAAAAGACACTAAAAGGAGCAAAAAACAGCTGAAAAAACTGCTGAAATTAGGTGAAATCAGCTGAAAAAAGTTCAAATTTGCACAAGAAAGATGAAAGAAGCTGAACCAGAACAAACTGTGAAAGGAGCAGTAAAAGGTTGTAAACAAGAGCTAAAGATTTGAAGATTGTAAAATGAGCTCATGTTCTATGAGGAAAAATAAAATGGCAGAAAAGGCTAAATATTTCAAAAAGCTAAAGTTGCACCAATACCAAACGTCATAGCACCCTTCTCCTGAAAAAGCTGAACATTTAGATTTTTGTTGAAATAGCACGAAAATTGTGGAACGAGAAAGATGCTGAATAACGTACAGAAAAAAAAACTACGGATCACAATTGTGTGAATGCTTCATAAACAGTCACACAATTAAGTAAATAAAATGTAGTTTAAACTTGTAATTAATCTGAGTGGTGTTCCAGGTTTACATCTGGGTTTATCTGAAGGTTCTTCACTAACAATCAGACCCAAACTTGATTATTTGACTTAAAGTAAATAAATATTATCCCACAGTCCTAGCTATACTGAAATGATATACGGCAGTCATTTTTTAGGCACATGCATTATATAAAACTAACTATAAACAACGTAGCAGAAAAGTTCAGCTTCCTACCTTGCGGTCACTCTTCCACATGTATTTCATGTATGCGTATGTGACGTGTGGGTGGGATGTAGGCAGCGGGTGATCGAGTTGCTTGGAGGGGTCAACGCCCAAAAGGAGCACAAGGGTCTTGTGGGCAAGAGCCTAGAAGGATGAAGTTAGACGCAAAGTTTCACAAGAAGTAGCTGAACTGTAAGAAAGTTTATTTTTCATGACGTTAAATAAACGTTCACATACAGACCTTTATTCATCATTAAGAATACATTTCCTCTCACAATTACTGAAAATATAATACGTTTCTTTTTTTTCCCCACAGATTCCTGCACTTTTAGCAATTTGGCACTCAAAATGTGTGTGCTTAAAAACAACAAGCTTGCCTGCTAACTTATTCAACTGATTAGAATAACAGTGATGTTGAAAAAAAGAAAATTTACACGACTTAATTAAATAGACGTGTAGTTTCAGGTTTCTTAAACAGCGTAATTTTGGGATGCTGTGCAGCTTTCATTAGTGGCAGCTTCAAACTAGCTGAAATGAAGTGGAATTTATGGCAACGATTAACGTTCTCAGAGCTTAAATTTATTCTCTTGTCAAACAAAGCTGCAGTTTATTTCCACAGAATATTATATAACAATAAATGGAAGAATATTAAAACGTTTCAGACAATTGTGTTGATGTACTCACTAGGCGTCCGCTCTTCCCACAAAGACTGGCATACTTTAACCAAGTCCTCATGTCCTCGTGGGGGTTGATAACCAGGGATCGGACCATCAAGATTCTCTGCCAATCTTCTACAATACGCTGACAACCCTGAAGCAAAAACAAAAACAAAAAGACTCTTTTCATTCTGCCTTAACAAGAAAAACATTAACTGTTAAACTAGAAAAATAAAAATGTGAGTAGGAGTTTTACTTGTAATACATGTGTCTACTAATCTTCTACATGTTATTGTTTTTTATGCTACCATACATAATTATAAGTTCACATGGTAGAAAACAAGACGTCTGAGGTAGAACAGTATGTAGCCCCGGGTAAAAACTATATATATATTTCTTTCTGTAGACCTATGTGTTCTTTAAATTCCCACTTTCTGCTGTCTGTGAATACCCCTCGAGTCATGTGCTCACAGAGTAGTTCCACCCATCACATGTCATGTGATTGTGTTTAACCCAGGGGTGCCCAAAGTTTTTCTCTGAAAAGGCCAACTTTAAAATCTATCAGAGGGCTGCAGGCCAAATGCAATAATATAATACATGAAATGCAAATACTTCTTTAAGTAAAGTCCATTTATTTATTATACAGGGGTCCTCCCCCAGAGAATTTTGAATACAGCAAATGCCATTTCCTTCATTTTGGTGTATTTTACAAAGGTTTATTACAGTAGATTAACATGAAACAAAACATGTAAACAGTTATTATTGAGATCTCTGACTGCAAAGCTGCAGCTCTACAGGTAAGGGACGTTCATTCAGGACAAATTGATGTCGCTGACTGGTCAGTTGCTGACTGGTCAGTTGCTGACGTGCCTACTGGATTGACTGACAGGTGGTGTGAAAAATTATAGACTTTACTGGCCTGTTTTGAGACTGTTGTCATTTATTCCATATTTATTCAACACTTATTCAATATTTTGGTGAATTGAAGGTTTGAGAACTGTTTCCTTACAAAATCCTAATGATGTTTTTTTAATTTTACATTACATGATGCTCAGCTTTGTCAAAGGAAATTTTATTCAGCAGCAAGAAACTGCTGAGAGACAGTATGAAGTCTGTCAAAATAAAATAAAAATTATTAAAATTTTAAAAAATTAATGCACAAATTAATCAATCCAGCTGTGTAGTGTCATTACAGTTGTCATTGGGCCAACTTTCCATCTAACATTAAACTTAGACTGACCGATTGTAAACACAATGATTCTTCAAAAGGAAATTTTAATATAGTAATGAGGACAGCTTGGCGGGACAAATCAAAATGGCTTGGCGGGTCAACTCTGGCCCGCAGGCCCCACTTTGGGCACCTCTGGTTTAACCAACTGTGGCCATGGAGGAAAGGTAGAAACTGCACTGACTTCCTCTCAATCACATGGCTGATGGAAGAAGCAGGTTGATGGCTACTACCAGGTATGTTTGTACAAACAATTGGTTATTTTGATCTTCAAAGTGTTTTTCCTGTATTATTTGACTAAATGTATTTATGTAAAACCTTTAGAACGGAAAACCAACACACAGAGGGACATTTTTATCCATTTAAGTGTGAAATTATCTTGGAATCAGTGAGTCTGAATTGTTCGTTTTAGCATTAGCTGCTAATGCTTAGCTTTTAACAGACCCAATGCTGTTTGTATTGCATTGTAGGCCTATTATGGATTATTTGTTACTTTGTTCTGTGTACAAACACCGAACAGTAGTATTCCATTGTAAATATTAATAATGTATTTATTTGGAATTTTGGCATTTTTTAGTTTTATTTTGGATTCATGTTGATATGTGTACACATGGTCGAGCTTTTATTAAATTTAGGATTTGCTATTTGCTTGGTTTATAGAACCTTACAAGTCGTGTTTGTCTAATACAGGCCAGGCGGACTTGAATGAACTTGGATTTCCTCAAACCTTGTCAATCAACTTGGAGGTTTGTTGATGGCAAGTTAACCAACTGCACAGCTGGGGGTACAAAATCCCAGCCTACAACTGAACTCGTCCTATGGTCTGGTAGGAGGCTGATGCAGCCTAAGGCCCTGTCTCCTTAAACTAGATTTGCCCACATAAAAAACAGCTTCCAACACACTGGAGTCTTCAGATCACGTTTCCTCTTGCTTGAACTCATATGAACTCTTAAAAACTCCATGAACATTCTAAACTCTAGTTGTGTCAAAGACATGGATCGTTGGCACAGCTGATGATGGACTTTTCCTTATTTTTTTCTCTGACGAGGGCTTGCACTGATTTTGATTTGTCTCTTGCAATAATATTTAAGTGCACTTAAGAACAATAACTGCTGCAGCACTTTGCACATACTTTGTTGTATTTGGTTTATTTTTATTGGTTATTTATTTTACACATTTTTGTTATTGCTTTTTCTTTATTATAATACACACAGTACCATCAGAAACCTATTTCAGTCTCTGTGTCATCAGTTACTGTTCTCCAGCTCCAGTAGATGAATCTAGTCTTCTGTGTTCTAGCCTGTTTGCCAGTGTAACAGTATAAAAAGCTAATTGGATGCTACAAGTAGAATACATATGTACAGATCATTAATTAACTAGCTAGTTACTGGTAATCTTTTATTTAATATTATATTAGCTCAAATATAACAAAATGCTGCAGAGGTAGGCATCACAGACAAAACAGTAGTAAAAGTATGATGCTACATAATTCTTGCGGTATAATTTGCACTTCTGGCAAACGTACAGGGGAGTGGGAAAAAAACATGATTTATTACAACTATATAAATGTGTTCTACATGATTCTTGTACATGTTTTTAAGCTCCAAATCATAAATAACATAAATTACCTTAAAACTAACCTATATTACAGTCTGAACTTAAAATTTATTTGCTTTGGCACTCCATAAATCTTTTTTGAAAGGCATTCACAAATATATAGGCTGTTACACACTCAAAACATGAGCATCAGGCTAATGTCTGTGAATATAGGTAGGACCTCACTCATAATGTAATTTTAATTCTATTTGTGCTTCAGTTACACATGTATAAAGCCTCGTTATGAACCATTTGATGTCTGTGGTGCTTCTGTACTGAAAGAATCTGTCCACACATACAGAAAGAAAGGCAGACAGACAACTGAACACTTGCCAAAGTACACAAATCCACCCACAGTATGTGATAGTTTCCTGCTATAATGGGTGTCATCGGGTTCACATTTTGCAGTGATGGCATACACAGACAGACAAACAATATAAAAACATGACTAGCTTCTACGCTGTAGCTTTGGGAATGCGCTACATGCACGTGACATGTATTGTATATAGACAGCTAAAATTTAACAAACTACTGATATCATTGGAATAGTTTTACTGACAATTCAGGTAAAACATTTAGAAGTTTCCTGTGGGAACAATAAAAAAGAGAGATTACAGGAGGTTCAGACACTGAGATATTGGCGAGTGTGTCTCAACGTGCCTGTGCAATGGATGTTTTTCATTAGTAACAGTAGCTTTTCCAACATCTGCTTCACATTGCATTAAAGTCTGCACACGTGAGTATCTACGTGCCCATACTTCAAGTGCTGCAGTTACCTGAAGCCTCTCCCACCACGTCTCCCTGATGATGTCTCTCCTCTCTGGCACCAGCTTATACTGGATTACTTCCTCGAGCTCTGACAGCATTTGGCAGGACACCATGGCCTGAGAACCAAAAACACACACATCCACACATTCGTTATAATAATTATAGCATCAATAATGTTCAGATTAGGCACAGGTCATATCTGGGCTGTGTGACAGGATGGTTAAGATGTAAATATTTTGAATTGGTATATACAATTAGCACATCCAGCAAACAATGAACTCAGTTCTGTGATTTCAGACACAAAATACATATTCTTCATGACCAGGGACTTGTTTATATTTTATCTAAGGTGAATCTAAAGTCAGCATACAAGATTTTCAACCACACTATGAACATCAACTTGTACTAGTTAATCCTTATAAAAACAATGTCAAAATAAAATTTATTAGAGAACTAGACATTATTTTACCTTCCCAAAAATCAGACTAAAATGTTAAATAATTGCTTTAACAATATTTTTTAGTTGTGCAATAAAATACATGAAACCTAGGAGACCAAGTACCGTATCTTCCAGCGTATAAGTCGCAGTTCTATACATAGATTTGTCAGTCCTGCGACTTATACGCCGAAGCGACTTATATATGTTTCGTTTCCATATTAATAAAGCAATTTTTGACTGATGCTTTAATTTTTCTAAGAAGTGCAACAGCGAGTTCTGCCGTGCACGCTCGCTTCACTCAGCTGGTGCAGGTGGAGGAACGCTGGAGAGCTAGCGGCTCCGGCCGCGATGGATGGATGGATGGCACCGCGCCACCCAGGCAAAATGAAACTGTTTTGACCATTAAATAAACACATAATAAATGTGACTTATACGCCAAAGTGACTTATATATGTTGTTTTTCCTCTTCATGATGCTTTTTTGGACTGATGCGACTTATACGCCGGAAAATATGGGTATGTTTAAGCAAAACATTAACTTTTTTCCCCTTCTGGCGTATCAAAGCAATACTTACCCCATACGCTCGGCTGTAGCTCTCTCCAGCCATGGCTGTCAGCTCAGCATCCAGAAGGTCTCTTGCTTTGTCAATACACTATATTTAAAACAGAAAATTATGCCAATTATAAACTTAAAATGAAATAACTAATACATTTAAATGACCATGTTTTAATTTCAAGTCTGATTTATGTATATTTTAAGTAAATGGTGCTCTGATTTGCTATTTTATTTTCTGAGCCTGTTAAACTTTGTCATCTGTAGAAATCAATTTGACAAGTTTTATTTATATTTTTGCTCTGTTTTAGTTGCATTATTGTTGTCAAGTTAGAATAACTCCAGAGTGTACAATCATACATCATAGACCCTGAAACAGGTTTTCTTTAGGATATTCTGAGCCTGAACATTTGCCAGGAAACCAAACACTTTGTACAAATAATTGAAGGTGTGTCTCAATCTTCTAACATAAAAGCTGCCAATAGTGATGTGTTTGTGAAACTAGAACTAGAATGACTTCTTTAATAGCAACAATGATTTGATACTCTGCTGAGTGCAAAATGTTTTATGAGGAGAGGTAAAAAAAAAAGTGTTGAGAGAAACGGTGCAGAGGTTATGTAACCTGAGTTTCAGGTGTCAAATAAACTTTAGAAAACAGCTTAATATGAATGAGCACTAAAGGAAATAAAGAGAAAGCGTAAGGTGACTAATGAGAATTCATAATTGGAGTTGGAAGTTTTAGTTCCTGCCAGCAGTGCATTGCAGACTCTAAAAACATTATGACCAGCCAACAGTCAGATGTTTTCACCCCTCACATCGTTTTAGTGTCTTCCTGTTTTGGGGCATTACTGTGCGCTACTGACTCATTAATAAGATTCCATCTTTCTGACTGTTCCCGTCATAACTTCGCCTCTCTAATTTATGAACACTGGAGTCCCTCCATCACCTTTGAGTATCCTGAGGAGTGGAAAAACAGAAACTGAGAGAAAAGGTTGACAAAAAGGACAAACGAGGACACAAATATTGCAGCAGAAAAACTGGCAATCTCTTCTTTGACCAACGTTTTTGGAGAACTGTTATTAGTGGGATGGGAAAGAGAGAGAGAGAGAATAACGAAGGAAGCTCTCCAAGGCCAGGACACAGCTGTTTCAAACTGACTCCCACCAATTATTTTTTTTTCACAGGCCTGGAAAGGATGGATGGCATGCCAAAACACCTCCTGAGGCTTGCATAGCAAGAGGTGGTGTTTGGGGAAGGTGGTTGATACGAGGTGACAATGAGGCTGCTTTATAGTCTCTCCACAGTTACAATCCTGTTTACTCATGAATTACTGTTCAAGGGCCTTACTGGAAATGTGCAGTCCAGACGACTCCTGATAAATGCAGCGTCTGGCTTCTGGCAGCACAAAACACCAACTAACCAAATCTTCTAAACTCTTATGTAAAGGTCATACCTATTTACCAAGATTTGGATCCTGTGATGTAACTTAATTATTATGGAGTGGCATGAAGACATGCTTGTTACTGGTTTGGACCAAAACTTTCTAATGGAACAAGAAACTAAACAGAAGCATGGTGTCAGGTCAAAAGCAGAACACCAGTTTGAAAATCCCACCCTGCAAATGAAACAAACCGTGAAAGACAAAATGTACTGTGAATACTGGCACAGCAGAAAGCTTACCAAGGGAAGGCATGACCCAAGTCCTAACCTGAGGTTAATCAGTAAGGTTTTAAAATAAAGCCACTTAGGACATTTCACACAAACACATTTAATAAATTATAGACCACGTTTGGTTGTTGGGGGTTTAAAGGGAAGGGAAAAAAGCCCTACAGAGTCAAGAGGACTTTAGTGCAAGGATTACCAACCAGATCCGGAAAACTAGACTGAGCTCATGCTGACATTTATGCTCTAATCCTCGCTCAATCTGCTTCTAATTCCTTCTCTTTCATTGTGAGTCGGTCATTGTCTGCATAAAGTCAAAAGCCTGCTTTTTGCATTCTGCAGAAGCTATATGCCACACCTGGATCAAATCTTTAAATTAGAGGGGGGAGCATGACGTTGATGAGAAGAGGGGGCTCAGAAAGCAGGTCCCCAGGGCTTAATAGTAAAGAGAGAACTGAAAGGATGAGTACAGAGCAATTGGACAAGCAAGTGTTTACTGTTGTCTGGCGCTGAAGCGTGTGTGTTTAATGTGCTGGCATCCAGCTTGAACAAATCCAGCTTCAGGGACCATGAGCTCATCTATGAACCCCCAATCGTCATCAAATGAGAAAAACATCCCCCCAACCTGCATCAGACCTTCAAAAGGCAGACAGGAAGAATAACAGAACAGCCAAAGGCTGTGATGATTTATGATTTTAGCAGCTACATAAAATTTAAACACCAAAACCTGTGTACAAAAACAAACAAATAAAATTGAAAAAAATAATTATTAATAAATAAAAATGTAAAAACAAGCCTGGTGCATTTTTATTACTATTCATAAGAAGCCAAAACCAGTGAAGGGAATTCAATCATGTCTGGAACAGCAGTAAGAACTAATAAATAATAACAATAATAAAGATTCCCGGTAAGTAAAATTCCAGAAGCTACAAGATCAGATCAATTTCCAAAAAGCATGTTTACGTGAAAATGTTTCCAAGCGTATTAACTTTACATGTACATTTTGTCCATTGGTTCACAGCGATGAGTAATGATGTCACACACCTGCTGGGCCAATGAGAAGAGGTCCTGATGCAGGGCTAGAACTGCTCTATAAAAAGCACCATCATGGGTATCTCTTGGAATCATACAAGTGTACTCCTCCATGCTGTCCCAGTGTCCTAGAGAAATAGTCCCATTACGGAAAAACAAAGAGAATGAAGTAGGTGATGATTACTACATTTTTTCACACAAATGTTATATTGATGAATGATTAACCTAAACTAGCATGCTATCATGGCTGCTTTGGACTATACTTTACAACAAAAACCTTAATATAAAAAGCAGTAACTTTAAACACCTACATGAACAATTCTGTCACCCAGGTGCCACTTAAAGTCCAACACCCACCAGTTTTTTCACATTACATATCCAGCGAAATATGAAGAGACACAAATAAATACCTATGTTCTGTGAAAAATTTTGAAAAAAGTAACAAAAAGTCGTTTATAAAACTGAGTTTTTGTGACAATTTCAAGCTGCATTCACTTCCTTACATGAGTTGCCAGGTCATGCCAGATTTCTATTACATAAGGCTGGAAGCAACTGCAAAGATGTGCAGTCTCATGGCGAAAACATCCCCATCCCCCATCTGTTCTCAACCCCACCCCTGCTAAACAAACCCACCCACCCCCACCTCTTTCTGAATGAGGCCCAAAGTTATTGTCAAACACTGAAAAAACTCCAGTAAGAAGAAAAAAGAGTGAAAGTTGAAGTTTGGCGGCGACAGAGACACAGCGGGAGTAATGAGATTTGTGATATTTAGCATGTTTGGATTTTATAGTTAGGGTGCAGTGTGTTTAGTGCTTAGTTTAGTAAGTTTCAGTGTTTGAGTCGAAACAATGAAACAATTTTGAACGTGAAGCTGCAGCTTTTGTTTGACGTGAGAGATGGAGCCGCAAACACAAAAATGAACGGAACTGTAGTCAGAACCGTCTCAAGACAGATTGGCAGAGATGAAAAAGAAAAACAAGAGTCTGAGACAGAGTGAAGACTTTGATGAGGAAGTAAGAGATTCATTATCTGTTTTAGAAGAGGAAAGAGAGGAAGAGCTCACCGAGCTCCACATTTCTGTCTGTGCTCAGACCCTGGTGTGACATCATCAGCCTGCTCAGGTTTGACTTGATTGGAGTTTTTTTTTTTTTTGGTTTGTTTTTTGTAACACTTGTATAGAGCCCAAATGCAATAAAAAACATATAGCCATCATATTCTACGACAGTGACAACCCCTTAAAAGCAATTGAGACTTTAAGTGGGTGCTGAACCTTCAAGTATTCAATGGGTTTACATAGTCAAAACCAGTGATCAACAATCAATAAGGTTCTGTAGAATTAGACATAATTTTCCTTTGTTATTGCATGTTATGATTTTTTATGATTTTTTTGCAAGGGAGACTTGGCAGGTATGTTACCATTTTCACTGGTTCTTGTAGCTCAGAATCACATAGAAATTGGTTAGGTGCATGTTTTTCCTTACCATGTACTCACTAACATTATATTAGTCTCGGTTAACCATTTTTCAAATTTGTATTTTTAATTAATGATTGATGCAAGTGCCAAGTCTTAGGGCGACTTAGTTCGCTGTGGTGACCCCTAAAGAAGGGAGCAGCCAAAAGAGAAATTAATAAATAAATAATGATTGATACACACAACTGATACAAGGCATGTGAGTGGTTACCTAAACCCCAGGCGGCGGCAGCAGCCATACGAGCCATCTTAGCCTGGGTTTCCTCACTGACCAGAGTCCACTCTTCACAGCACTGCTGGTGCAGCTGGCCCCTGGAAAACATTTACAAAGATAGAAGATAAATATGACAGAAAGAACAGCAGATAATATCAAAAACAGAAAAAAAAACCTCAATTCTGGATTGACAAGAGTACTCAGGTGATGATTTTACTGTAGTCCTGTGATCCCAAGATAATGAGCCATAAAGCAGTACCTTAAATTACCGGTAAGCATTTTCAACATGCTTTGTGCAAAAACAAGAATATCAAACTATGCCCAAATGGTATGAAACTTAACAAATTATCCATGAATTAGTATACTATAATATCACATCAAACTGAGATTAAGTAGCATAGTGGTATGTTGAGATATAGGCAGCTATAGTGCATTTGTAGAAAAAATTGTGAATATTGGATTTTGTCAAAATATGATGAATAAATATCTATGGATCTCTTGAAAAAGGTTCCAAATATAATCATAAAGTTTTGAAACCCTTTCTGAGCAATACCAGCTATGGATGATTTTGCATAGAAAAGCCTTCAATTTTTACTACTTTCCCTTTTCGCTTTACCAGCTGTGAAATCCTGATATCCAAATATAGTCTGAGGTTTCCCCGTTCAAATGACATCAAGGAATCTTCATTAGAAGACACTAAAAACAGGATGTAGACAAATTTTCCAGGGGTTAACCTGATCAGAAAGACAAATCAAGCCACGTCTCTGGAACCGCTCGTATCAGGATGATGTATCAAAATGTAGTTTAAAAAGTCAAGAATGTGAAAATGTACTTAATGATTTGATGTGATAGGTCACATTATTGAAAGAGATGGGCTAAGAAATATAAAGAAGGGATTATTTCATCTTGACTGCATAAATTTCACAACAGCTCTTACTGCAACTCCACAGGGATTTTGTTTTATTTATATAATGTGCAATACTCACACTGCTGTATACTGCAAGCCCTCATCCAAGGTTCATGTTTCAATACTGATATATACAAATTTACTTTTGCTGCAGGATGATGCATGAAGGAAGCTTTAGAAGGCATGCATTTTTGGCTGAGGATAAATAGGAAACTAACATTTCTGCAACATCTGCCATCATTTATTTATTTGTTTGTTGTTAGAGATGAACATCTCAAAGCAGACTTAGTTTCATAACCGTCTGATAAGATCAAGAACAGAAAACAAATGGATGCTACCACTGGGGACAAATGTAATAAGGTTGTGTTGTTTATTTAGAAAATACGGTGCATTGTGCAGGCAAAGATGGAACCCAAATTATATGTTTAACAGGCAGAATGCTGGAGAGAGTTTAGAGCATAAAGAAAAAAGAGACGGATGCAAAGGTGGACGTCAATGATGTTTTCTAGCAAAACAAAAAGACGAGGTGTGCGTGTGTCTGCATCAGACAATCAACAACAACAAAAAAATCCTGTAAGTCCTTCCCTGAAAGGACAATGTATAAAAAAAATAAATACAAAAACATAAATGAGATGGTAAAAATGTTTCAAAATTTTAAGAGCAATAATGTGTAAACCTTGTGAAGACTTTTTCATGACATTTTGACTTGTCAATGCAAAAAAAAAACCCAGACATTATGGTTCAGTTTTAACGGAGTCTTCCCGTTTTAATCCTTGTGTTCAGTTCAATCAAAATATTATTTTACCAACATATATAATGTAGAATATTAATAATTAAAAAATAATTAGGCCTTGAAAATAGGTATGTTTATCTAATAAGTTTTCAAGTATCACTTGTTGAAATAACAATGACCAAATATTACTCCCAAAGGCTTTATAATGGTATATTACAATTCAGTGTGGGGGACATCTTAATGCCTACACTGGCAACAAACTATCCAAGAGGATGATGAATAACAGGATTTGAAGAGGCATTTTAATTTACACTATTGCCAAAATCAAGTCTCCATTTAAACTAATGGCAGGTTACATCAGCATCTGTGTTGTGTCGTGAATAATGTGGCACTCTATTAATATAGACATTTTGGGCATCTTGTTACTTTATTTTTCCTTAAAAATATATGTTTTTAAAGAGAACAGCTGTTTTGAAGCTGAGCCTCAGCTGTGGTGAGGTTTGACTTTCCTGCTGTCATCTCTTAGTGGCAATGGATGTCTGCTAATAAATTCCATACTGAAATTGCTTCGGTCAGGTCACAGTAACTAGTAAACACCTAAAATCGAGACTTATTAGACTAGGCTGCAAAAGTAGGTGCAAGTCTAAAATTCTAAATACTATTTTTATGCATTTTAGTCACGGTAACAGAAACATCAGGAATCCAAAAGACCTATATTCATAATGATAAAAGTGTGGGTACAATAGATTTAACTAATGACGTACCATTCTCCCAAGGCCTCTAAGCAGCGCATCCTGCCAAGGATAAGCTCTGGGTCCTCTTTGTTCATGTCAATCTTCTTGTCATATGCCACCAGAGCATCCTCCCACTCATGAAGCTTCTCATACCAAGTGGCTTGGATTTCCTAATAAAAAAATCGAATAAAGAATAGATATAATAAACACATGATCAGCTGCCAAAATTGCCTAAACTGCACACAATATGCTGTAAACCCATTGAATAAAAAAAAAAAAAAGCGCTTTGAATCATTGTCAATATGTCCAAAAATGTAAACAAGACCATGGCATGAGACAAAAAAAATAAACCTCAGTTGTATAATAGTTTTACAAAAGAATAATTTTATATCATGCATGCTATTGTTGTGGACTTCAACAACAATAAGCAATAGCAGGAAAACAGGAAAGCTTTCATGCGAGTTTAGTTCAAGATTCTGCAATTTACAGCAATCCAATAGGTCGAGCTGTTAAACTATTCACTTAACTGTTAACTATTATTTTTCTCCTTAAGCACATCTGATGTATAACTTACAGCTAAATGTTAGCTGACCTCTTTAATGGTCAAAAAGTGTTTTTGACAATATCTGTTTATTTACACTCACATACAAATCTGAAACAACCAATGTTCAGCTTTAGAAATGAATAACTACAATTTAAAACTTCATGAATTAAACCTGGACATTCTGCCTCTAATAGTGTATTTTAAGATAGTCAGGGAGCCACCTACACCAACAACGTAGACTTTCTTTGTGTTTTAGTGATGATTTTTATTCAGTGGCCTTGACAGGGAACCATTACTTCCCCTCGTAGAAAAACATTCCAAATGTTCAACTCATAAATGTGCTCTTTGATAATAAACTGTGCAAAACTGTTTTTACTGTGCTTTTATAGAGAAACCATAAAGGCAGTTTACAGAGGCACAAAAAAAAAATTATTCCATCTGAGTTCTCTTATGGAAATTCTTATCAAATCGCAAATTCTCTGCGTCTGAAATATATTCACAGCATCTTCTCACTACTGACTTTAGGCTGGAGGACAGAAATAACAGATTCATGGTAATTCAGGATAAACGAAAGAACTATCAACAAAACTTGCAACATTTAGTCAGTAGGTATAGAAAAATGATCTGTGTGAATCCATTACAAAAAAGCAAAAATTTCCACTGACAAAAACATGTCTGAATTAATTTTGACCAGAACTTTGTTTTGATTATTATTATTACATCACAATCTATAATTTCAGCTTCGACCGAAGCCTGATAAATGCCCTGATGCCTAATAGGATGATAGAAGCCTGATAAGTTATGTAAAATGTGTTAAAACTGAACAAAAAGCTATTTTAAAAACTTCTTGTATAAAAAACATTTTGTTCAATTATTCAAAGCAAACACAGTTACAATACTTGGAATGAGGGAAAGAGACATGTAAAAACAATAAAATGCTTTTTCCTTCTTAAGTGACAAATTGAGAAAATGTGACTGCGTCCTGTCCATCATGTCCACTCTTGGACATTTAAGCATAATGTGGACTGAGCTCACCTATAAATAAATATGTGTTAATATCAGGAAGCTGCAGTCCTCTGTGTGCAGGGAAAGAAATCTAGAGATTAAACAGTCAATCCATAAGAAATGTAAAAATACAAACAATTTTAGGATAGATTGCACTGTAGATAACAGTCCTAACATACTGATGTCAGCTTACAGGGGGACCTTTTAAACACCTAATAATGAAATACTGTTGGAATTCGTTGAAATGAAGCATTACATACTTATAATTGTAAAAAGGATGCAGAAGTCTCAAGCTGGATTTTAAAATATTTACCCAAGAGTCACATAAAATGTGTGAAAGTGTACGAAAATTTCTGTCAAACAAAAACAAAAAGTCCATCATTCTCCTCCTTGCCGTTAACCTTGGATTAGTGTAACAGATGGCTTTTCCCACATGCTGCACATTAGAGACACACGATTCCTAATGAGCAGTTTGTGGAAAGGCAATAACCTTAAATTATAATCTATGTTAAAATATGTCTATCATGAAAGGACACCCCGATGAGAAACCACACACACAATACAGCCCAATGAAGTGAGTATGGTATTTAGCCTAAAAGGACAGAGAAACGCAAAAACCTGAGTGTGTGTGAGTTTTAATAAAAATAATAGTGATTAAAAATGTATACATTTTAAAATTAATAAAATAACATGATATGTTTATGCAGTACAAAATTACACTTAATCATGGGAGAATATCAGTTTTGTTCATATGTAAAATTTGGATAAAGTGGTAGTACATAACAGATATTTTACCTGCTATAGGCAAATATTTTACTCTGGAAAATCAAAATAAAGTAAAAATAGCTAAATCAGGACTTTTTTAATGGTAGGATTTAAAAAACTAAAACAAAAACTTACCAATTCACCAAAATGTTTCATTGCATATTCCAGCACTCCTGATGCCGCCTCGGGCTGCTGAAGTTTATTGTTGATGCTGAAAATTAGCCAAAAACAACAGCATACTATTAGTTTACTATAAGACAAACCCTGGAAGACTATTTAGAGAAAAGTATGGTTTTAAAAGGTGGACAAAATGCAGGGTACATGAAAATCTTAGCATGAATATCAACAAGGTGGGTAGTGACCTGTTCAGGTGTACCCTGCCTCTAACACAGATAGGCACTAGCTCCTCATGACCTGGAAAGAAGCAGCTGGTAAAAATAATGGATGCATGGATCCTGTATTGAATCTAACCTTTACTCAAACAGAACAAAGGCACAATCAGGACTGGCTAAAAAAAATCCAAGGATCTTGTAACGATGACATTAAATTAAATTAAACTAAATTAAATACAAGTGGTACACTGATGTCCCCCCACTGCTGACGGATTTGAATAGTGAATGCTAATCCAACCCACACCTGTGGTCATGAGGTTTGGACCGTGACTGAAAGAACGAGATCCCGGATGCAAGCGGCCGAAATGAGCTTCCATCGCAGGGTGGCCAGGCTCAGCCTTAGAGATAGGGTGAGGATCTCAGTCATCCAGGGGAGCTTGGAGAAGAGCCACTGCTCATTTGCATTGAAAGGAGTCTGTTGAGGTGGTTCAGGCATGTATTGGGATGCCTTCTGGACACCTCTTTTGGGCATGTCCCACTGGTAAGAGGCCCCAGGAAAGATTTAGTCTCCGGGAATGCCTCAAAGTCTCCCAGGCAGAGCTAGAAAGTGTCGCTGGGGAGAGCGATGTCTGGGTTTCTCTCTGCAACCCGACTACGGATAAGCAGTAGAAGATGGAGATATTCAGCACTTCTCAATGACATGGCAATTTGGATCTATACTGATGGCAAAGGTAGCAACCCTTTATATAATGCATGTGTATTAAAAACTCTGAGAATATTTTATCACTAAATCAAAGCTACTGGCCCATTTAACACAACTTGAGTTTTGAATCCTGGATCCTACAAGGATGATGGAGCCTGTTTGGGACACGTGTAAGCACTTTGCAATTTATAAAAGCCACTTATGTAAATAAAATGCAAGACTTGACGTTGGGGAAATCAAACTAAACAAAGTGTGACTGCACAAAGTAAAGTGACTTTAGTAAACAAGCATTCGTCTCCGTGACTCTCACGGAGGATGATGAAGGGCATTGTTTCAATGGTCAATTACATAACTACCCAACGTCTCCAATAAACACAACTTCCACAAAGAATTCTAAAAAAACAATGACGATATCACATAATTATGTTGTATGTTCTGTCTTTTCCATTAGAGCTTTTGTTATCTGTTGTGAATTAAAAACCTTTTAAACAACAAAAGAACAAAAACAGCAAGATCTCCACCACACATCGATACCAAAGATGTCCAGATGTGTTTTTATCTGAAGACAAATCAGAATAGGAGTGTTCTCTACCGTAGACACAGGAGATTTCATTGTCCCTCCACTGAAGCCATCTGGCTTCCAGCTCCAAGCAGAAGCTGTCTAAATGCATCCAGATGGAAAGGCCCACATAACGTTCTTCTCAAGTAAAACTTGGCATGCAAAAAACTTGGTCCAATCATTGTGGATCCCTTTATTTTACTGTTTAATAATTACCTATTTCATCTGAACACTTAAAATATATATTTTTTAATTTGAATGTACCTTAAACACACTGGATAGTAAAGCTATAATGGTGCCGTACTGAATCGGCATACAAACCAGGCATTTTAAAATGTTTTGTCAAGATAAAGATACCTTAGAAATGACAAACTCGATAGCATTGAGAGATAATATGAAGCACTTTTAAATTAAAACATAAATTGGGTTCAATACCAAAGAACTAAACATAGTTTGTAAATATGACAAAGGAGTTGAAATATAATACAGAACAACTTTATTTATAAAGCACCTTAAAAAACACTATTAATCAAAGTGATGTACAGCGATAACACAAATACAATAAAATCAGTTGAAATGGTCAAAAACAATTAACCGTTAAAATCCTAATAAAACATAGAATAGAATAAAAACAATTACAAAATACATTAAAATCCAACATAAGCCAAGTGAAAAGCCAAAGAGAAAAAAATGTGTTTTAAGAGATGATTTAAAAACAGGAAGTGAGTCAGCCTGTCTAATGTGCAAAGGCAGCTCGGTCCACGGTTTAGGAGCAGCGACTGAAAACGCTCGGTCACCTCTCAGCCTTCCCTTTCATTTTGGAATGAAGAACAGGATCTGCCGACCTGAGAGAGCGTGAGGGAACGTACAGCTGGAGCAAGTCGGACAGATACTGTGGGGTGAGACCATAAAAACATTTTAAAACAAATAAAATGACCTTAAAATCAATCCGGAAGTGAACTATGAGCCAATGCGGTGATTCTAAAACAGGGGTGATGTGCTCTCGTTTTTCTGGTACCAGTTCAAAGGTGAGCAGCAGCTTTCTGAACCAGCTGAAGTCGATTCAGTAATGACTGGCTCAGCCCGGCATGAAGTGAATTACAGTAATCTAAACATGGATTAAAATGTCATAATGATGCTGTGAAATAATAAATGGTTTGACCGTGGCCAGGTGTTGCAGGTGACGAAAGCTGGATTTGATCATTCATTTAATAATAATGAAAATGATGAAAATAATAATAATTCATTTAATCTGTGCAGCGAGTTTAAAATCATTGTCCAGCCTTACACCCAGGTTAGTTGCTCTCAGTCAGATGTTGCGTTAAAAGACCCAGATTCAAATGGACTTTGGAATCGTCACTGCGCTTAAACAATAAGACCTCCATCTTTTGCTCATTTAAATGTAAAAAAAAAAAAAAAATCATCAACATCCATGCTCTGATTTCTGCAATATATTCCAGGAGTTGGTTCACGGAGTATTGCTTTTCTTGTTTTAGTGGAACATAAATCTGGATGTCATCAGCATAAAAATGGAAAGCGACACCATGTTTCTGAAGAATAGATCCTAGCGGGAGTAAATACAGGGGGAAAAAAATGAGGGCCAAGCCCATAAAAAAAACTTCAGCTGAATAAGATACAAGTGGGCTATCTGTAACTTCATGAGCTATACAGAAAGTTTCTGAGAATATTTGATATTTTACAGAAATGTTTTTATGGGTGGAGGTTGACGGCTACTGGAAAACTGAACAAAAGGTATGAATATATATATATATATATATGACAGTTATCCAGCAAATGCTGCTACTATATATAGAATGTTTGTCTGACATTTGTGGGGAATTTCCACCTAAATAACTGTTCATGTGCAATCAATAAGATTCCAGGGGAAAAGGAAGTGATTCACACCATGAAGGTGAATCTTTATACTGTGTAGGCTCTCCACTGGTACACATCAGACTGTCATTGGAACAAAAATCAACTAGGAAAAAGAATAATATGGAAAAGTAATAGGACATCAACAGCCAAGATGAGCTCATGTTTATGTGAAAACAAGTCCAGCAAAGAACCTGGATTTGCAAAAGTGTACAGGAGAAATTCTCTGCATAAAGCTGTTGTTAAAAAAAAAATAAAAAAAAGAACCTTAAGTAGACTTAAACAATAGATTCAGAAATGTATTTACAAAATAAATAGCAATATCATAAAACGTGTTGAGTTTATGGAGAAATTGTGATTCATTCAGATTTGTTCATTGTTTCATGGTGACCAGTTTTCCATAGAAGAGACAAACTGCAATTTTTCTTTAGCACTGATAATCTCATTCAAACATCTGTAAGACACAACTGGAAAATGATTAACATTAATGAGTTCCAAACAATTCTCAAACACAAAGCCAAAAGAACAATAACATGCCTGTTAACATTATACTACAGAGGAAAAAATAAACAGACCACTCAAATAGTTCACAACCCAATATGATGACATTTTTATGTTTTTCATTTTTCTGACGAAAGTTAGGCGTGTTAAGAGGCCACTGAGACATAAGCTGGAGAAATAATTCAATGCCTGCATTCACCAGACTACTGCCCACAGTGGGGTACGGCTGAAATATGAGGCCCCTGAAATCCTCACTTTTAGGTCAATAAGCCAAAAAAACAAAGTGTCTCTAGTTGTCCATAAAGGAAAACACATGATGGCCACCTTATTGGAATGCCCAAGAAAAAAAAAAAAGACCTGTGCCAAAGATTATTATTTTTTGAGTAACTACCTTGAACAAAAAATACACCAACCACATGTTGGTCAAATTAACTGTACTTCCATGGAATCATGCAAAGTCCTGAAAACAGTTATTGTTTGCTTTTTTAATTTCAGTTCAATCAAGCCCTTAACTTACTTATGTCTTGAACTAGGGGGTCTACATGTTGATGTGTAATTTATTTATTTATTTGTTGCTGTTGTTTTTGATCCACAACGCAATTGTGTCATGAAATATCCTTCTGAGAAAAGAGCATGTGGCAGATGCTCACAAATACATAAATGCAGGGAAAACAATTTATAATAGATAGTGCTTAATCCATTCTCTTTCTTTAGTCCCAGCTATTGAGTTTGTAGGATTGAGTGCAGATGGTCACAGCCTGGCCTGTATTCAAAATATACAGTACAACAATGGACAACACCTGGCAGACATTCCTGGCTTAAGCCACTATTTATTTTATGAACTTCCAGGGCACAAAGTTTGCCACTCTCAGATGGAAGATGTTCTGGTGCATATTGGGTCCCTCATTAAAGAAAGTATGGAACAGTTCATTTTGTCCTTAAACGTGACCAGGTTTAAAAAAGAAATACTGCTCACTCTATTATAGTTGACTTTAAATCCATAGTAGCCTGTTTGCTTTCCTTCAGTCTCCAATTTTCCAGAACCATTTAAGTTCCAACCCCATCAAAAAGCAAATCGAGAGCTTTGCCTTTTTACTCAACTCTTTCCTCACCACCACAGACTGGAGCAACACCAACATTACTGCCGATGAAGCTTTGATATGGATATTCAGTTATTGAACAGCTAACCATCATTTGTGACCAATATACTTAAACTTCACTTAAGGCAGAGACTTACTCTCAAT